TGGTAGAGGACCGGTGGGAGCTGCTCCAGTTGGTGGGAATGGTGGGAATCAACCTCCACAAAACCCACCAAGAGGAAATATTGGGGGAGACCCAGAACCTTCCGACGACGATGACGACGATAACAGTGAATGGTCGTACGGTCGGAAGAATTGGAGAAGGAACCGAGGCGGGAACCGGAATTCGGCGCCGCCTGAAGACGAGGATATGGTAGATTCGCTCGCCAAAATACCCTTCGAGTTCGATAATGCCCGGAAGCATACCCTGCGACATTGGCTCATGGAGTGCGAGATCTACTTTGAGCAGAAGCCGAAGAAGTTCCGAACGGACAGGAACAAAGTGCTGTTCGCTGGAACGTATACGTGTGGGTTGGCAAAAGAGTGGTTTATGGAATACATCGAGACCAAGATGTTAGGCCCGGCAGCCGCGGACTACGCTACTTGGACTCGTTTCCGTCAGTCTAACGGGGACTGTGGACGTAGAAACTATGGAGCCAAGGAATACAACCGAGGCGAAGACGTGGACGTAGGGTGTTCGTGGACTATGGACTATGGGGCCGAAGGGTACACCTAAGGCAAGAACGGGGACTGTGGACTATGGACCATGGATGGTTGTACCTGGTATGAAAGTCCAGGTAAACCCTATGACGTAGCGCGAACCAAATAGTATTCGTAACTGTGAAGTACAGAGGTTGCATAAAGAGGAAAAGAAGAGAAAGAGAAACATAAAATCACAAGACAACGCCCCCCTTATATATCCATACCCAATCCCAATGCTGACTCATACCCTCACATAACAAAAACAAAAAGAACATAATAGAAACCCGCTATACAAATCCCAACCACACTATATAACCCTTCCTCTTCATACCGCAACACCTCGCATAACCAAACCATATGGCTGCCGTTACAGACCACTCCCCCCTCTAAGGCCTACCTCCTGGTAGGCTTAGGCTTCCGTGGATATCGTTCGTGAAATCGTTTGACAATATTGGGCGAATGTTCGACGTCCGACAATGGCTGCCACGAAGCTTCGTCATAACCGGCATACCTAACCAAGTATTCAAATCTTCCCCGACGATCCCTGGAATCCAAAATATCCTCAACTTCCCACTCCTCCTGTCCTTCAATTTCGACCGGTGGTGGTGGTAACTGTTGTTGTCCTGGTAAAGGATCGTTTACTGCAGATGACAATAAAGAGACATGAAATACGGGATGAACTTTCATAGACCGAGGGAGTTCCAACTCATAGGCATAAGGACTAACGATCCGTTTCACGACATACGGTCCAATGCGTTTCCAATCGAGTTTCTTCGATGGTCATTTGGTGAGGACATGGCTGGTCGATAAGAAAACTTTATCCCCCACAGAATAGTGAGGTGCTGGAGTCCGACGTATATTGGCGGACTCTTCTTGAATCCTTTGCGCTCGAAATAATTCATCCTTTAGAAAATCCAATATATCCTTCATCTCCCTTGCAATACTATTGGCCTGATCCTCCGCTGTCGTCCTACCATATTCCAAAGGACCAAAAGTCATTCTTGGATTCCTCCCTGAGTTGGCGTAAAATGGAGAAATTCTCGTCGTTTCAGAAGCATGGTTATTTGTTCCAAACTCGGCCATTGGCAACCATCGAACCCAGTCGTCCTGTTGATAAGAAACATAACTTCGAAGGTATTGTTCCATCACAGCATTGATTCTTTCCGTTTGTCCATCCGTCTGGGGGTGAAACGCTGTAGAGAACTTTGGCGATATTTCCAAACGATCGCAAAGGGACCTCCAGAATTCCGCAACAAATTGTGTTCCTCGATCAGAGACCATAGTTTCAGGGAGTCCATGTAATTTCCAAACATTATCGATGTACAACCTCGCTACTTCTTTTGAATCCGCCTCTTTAGTTGTGGGAATCAGATGTCGCATCTTGGTTAGTCGATCCACCACGACCAAGATTGCATTGTATCCATCGCTCTCTGGCAGGTAGGTAACAAAATCCATTGATACATCCGTCCATGGTCCATCGGGTATTGGCATCGGGCGGAGTACTCCATAGGGTGCATTGCGTGGTGCCTTGCTACGGGTACACACATTGCAATTCCGAACATACTGATCGATATACTTCCGCATTTGTGGCCAGTAATACTCTCGATTCAGGAGTTCCAAAGTCTTCGCTCTGCCTGGATGACCTGCCGATGGTTTGTCATGATACTCTTTTAGAAGTCTTAGCCGAAGGTCATTGTCGTCGGGTACATAGAGTGCGCCACAGTAAAGTAGCCGACCGTTGTTATCTTCCGTGCATTCGGCAAGCGAGATCTTATTCGAGTGACGGACGCCGTTCCGAAGCATCGCGAGTACTTTGTTCGGGAAACTGTCAACTTGGTAAGCATTTAAAAACAACTCTTCTACAGTGGACATTCCTTCAGCGGATTCATTTGAAAAAGAACCCGCGAACAAACTTAGCTTTGAATCCAAATTTTTTCGCTTCAAAACCACCTGGCTTTGATGCGTCAACCGTTCATCCCCCTCCTTAGGTAGGTCACCCGACCTCCTAGTCAATGCATCCGGCTTTGCCCCTTGTTTCCCTGGTCTAAATTGAATGATGAAATCAAAACGTGAAAGAAATTCCGACCAACGGGCTTGTCGACGGTTTAATAGCTTTGTTGACATAAAATATTCGAGGTTCCTATGATCGCTGAGGACTTCGATTGGGAATTGTGCCCCTTCCAAATGATGTCGCCATTCCTCAAAACATCGTACAATTGCTAGGAGTTCTTTGTCATAGATTTCATAGTTGCATTCCGCAGGGGAATGCTTCTTTGAGAAGAAAGCGACTGGATGTAAAATTCCTTCATCATCACGTTGGGACAGGATTGCAGCAGAAACATAGTCGGATGCATCGGTTTCTACTACGATTCTCCGATTCGGATCAAAGTGCGCTAGTATGGGTGCCGTTATGAACATCTTTTTCAATGTCTGGAATGCTTCCTCCCTTTCGTCCGTCCATTCGAACTTAACATTTTTCTTCGTCAAAGCCGTAAGTGGGGCAACATTCTTTGAGTATCCTAGGATAAACCGTCGATAGAAATTAGCGAATCCCAAAAATACCTGAACATCATGAAGGTTCTGCGGTGTAGACCACTCTAACACATCGACGACCTTCTTCGGATCCATCCTATTCCCATCTGGGGTGAGAATAAGGCTGAGATACTTCGTTTCCTGAACCATAAACTCGCATTTCTCGGGTTTAAGGTGAACATGATTCTCATCAAGTACCTTTAGAACCTTCTGAATATGGTCTTCGTGCTCTGACAGAGTTTCCGAATAGATCAGGATGTCATCCAGATATGCCGTTACAAATTGATCGAGGTAAGGACGTAGAATATCATTGATCCAATGTTGGAATGTGGCAGGGGCATTCGCTAATCCAAACGGCATTACAGTATACTCGAAATGTCCATAACGAGTCCTGAACGCCGTCTTCCATTCGTCTCCCTCGGCTACTCTGATTTGGTTATATCCCCAACGTAGATCCAGCTTGGTATAGTATTGCGCTTTTGATAACTTGGCCAGGGTTTCCTTTAACAATGGTAACGGATATCGATTTTTGACCGTGATTGCATTGAGACCTCGATAATCCACGCAGAGCCGGAGAGTCCCATCACTTTTCTTTACGAACAGTATGGGTGCTCCCGCTGGCGACTCACTGGCCCGAATAAATCCCTTAGGTAGGTTTTCATCAAGGTATTCCCGTAGTGCTTTTAGTTCGATTTGGGAGAGGCCATATATCGGTCCATAGGGAGGTCGTTTACCTTCCTTCAATACTATCTCAATATCATGGGATGGTCGATGGGGCGGCAGGATAGAAGCGTCATATTCTTGGAACATATGGAGACGATGGTGGAACTCCTTTGGTACTAGTTGCTTGACGTCGACGGTGGATTTCTCAACTGCTGAAATGACAACAGTATGATGTTCCGGTAGAGGGATCGATATTCCATGGGCAGTAACTGTCGTTCCATTGAGTGAACAGTGTTGACAACAGCTTCGAGAGTCAAAAATAAGTAAATTTTACTTCGGCCGAATCGTAACATCGTGACGTCGCATCCAAGGTATTCCTGTAACGGGGGTCCTTTCTCAGAGAAATAGAATTGGATAGAATAGAGACGGCCGTGCAAGATAGACAATCAGGTTGCAGATTATTCAAAGATACTATCGCTAGAACTCAATAATCTTTAAGGGCTCTGCTACCGATAAGAACTTGGTTTTTCTAATGAAGACTGGAGAGAACAGGACCAAAGGGCGAGAATGAACCTGAGTACTTATACTCCGAAGGCCTCTATTCTCTGCTCCTAACTCCTTACTAAGGTCCGGTGGGCCTTCCCTTAGTACCGGAAACAATACCACCGCTACCCCGCTTTTCTCTAAGCGTCAGCAGGTGTTTCCGATACCGAAGGCAACCACCCTTAGTCAAAGCCTTTGTAACACCTGCAGCCTTGGTTGCCACACAACCGAGGACCTGCATGAATGAGCTGCCGCTCAGGTGTAAGCTTAATCATTGCTGTAGAGCTTTCGCTTATTGTAGACTTCCCTAGCATAGTCCCTGCCCTTCGGCGGACTTACAATGCTCAGAGGATACAGAGGATCACCGGGCAATCAGAGCTTCACTCTTACCGGTCTTCTAGTCACTGGCGAGGCATAGACTCGTCAGTCATTGCTCCCATGAATAGATCCCCTTCCTAGCGCCCGGAATGTAGTTACTCTAGCAGCTGGTAGCTAACCACACTGCCGGTACTTTCATATCACCGTGCAACTGGCTTCTAACAATAACTCTCAGCATGTAACCGGGCCCTGTGTGTACTCATACACCAGACAGTTGAAATGGCTCCGTTACACCACTCCCCTCTTCCAGGATCTTGGTCTCCGAGATCTATAACCATTCTATTACCATCCAATCTATATGACAAGAAACTCCGTGATATGCAAGGAAGAAAACCTAAAGGAAAAAACTACACCCCAACAATCCGCTTATCCTTGGGTTTCTTGGGATACCTCATATGAAAATCCCCAAGGGCTTCTTCAGCACTCTTCTTGAGATGCTCCCAAGGTTCCCATGTAGCATCCTCGTTCTCATAGCCTTCCCACAGCACTAGATATTCCACTCGTCTTCCTTTCCTATTGACCCGGCTATCAGCTACCTCTCGGACAACCCAGTTCTGTTCTCCTTCAATCTCCTCGGATTCCGGTGGTGGAACTCTTCTCTCAGGATCTACCGGTGCTCTGTAAGGTTCCAGAAGAGAGACATGAAAGACCGGGTGGATTCCCATTTGAGGGGGAAGAGAGAGCTTGTAGGCACAGGTACCAATAGCTTCTAAGACCTTAAAAGGTCCCATCTTCTTCTGATCCAATTTTCCCAAAGGCCGCTTTATTTGCACATTGCGCCGGTCCAACATTACTTCATCTCCGGGCTTGATTTCAGGCGGTGCCAGGGCATGAACATCATACCACCGGGCCATCCTTAATCTAGCTTTACCTAAGCTGGCGTTCATAGCCTGCCAGATAGATTCCCATTGAGATATCATGACCTCGCTTGCTGGATTGTTCCATTCTACTCCTTCCTTTGGGGCCGGCCAGTTGGTCCTGGGTTCATATCCATAGTTGGCATAGAAAGCCGATACTTTGGTAGACTCAGAGACCGCCGAGTTATAAGCATACTCTGCCAAAGGCAGGAGCTCTGCCCAGTCATCCTGTTGATATGAACAATAACTCCGCAAGTAATGCTCCAGGGTCTGGTTAACTCTTTCTGTTTGACCGTCCGTTTGGGGGTGGAAAGATGTGGACATCTTCAGCTTCACATTGAGGAGGCTCATGAGAGATTGCCAAAAGTGAGAGATGAACCTGCTATCTCTGTCCGAGACTATGTCATCAGGTAAACCATGTAGTCTCCAAACTTCCTTCAAGAACAGCTTAGCCAAATCTTCCGTTTTATTGAGGGTAGGAAGAGGGATGTAGTGTGCCATCTTCGAAAAACGGTCCACTATTACCTCCATAGAGATGGAAGTCCATGGCCGATAGGGTATCTCCAACGGTTGGAGCATACCAAACTTCTTGTGTCTTGAGGTCTTATTCCTCTGGCAGCTATCACAGCTCCGGACATATTCCTCAACATCCTTATCCATGTTGGGCCAAAAGAAGTTGTTTTTCACCCGCTCTAGTGTCTTAAATTGGCCAAAATGACCAGCCACCTTAGAGTCATGGGTATCGGACAGTATTTCCATCTGAAGCTTCTTGTCTTTGGGTATATACCATCTATTCTTGTAGAAGATGAGACCGTTCTTGACCGACAAGTTCTGGTCCAAATTTGGTTTCCTTTCAACCAGGGAGCGGTGCAGTTCCTGCCAGAAACTATCCTCTTTAGCAGCCACATATAGGCGCTCTAAGAATGTATTCTGCAATTGATTCACCCTGACAGCCGCTAGCTTTGCAGGATCCAAAACCAATTGACCTGGCCTAAAAAAGATCTGTGGCTCCGGCTGCAGAGTTTCACCTCCCTCTCCAAGGAGGTGATCCCAGCGCCTAGATAGCACATCAGTTTTGCCATTCTTTTCTCCCGGTCTGTAGACAACTTTAAAATTGTAGCCTGCGAGGTCCTCAGACCATCTAGCTTGCCGCCTAGTGAGAACCTTGGTAGAATTAAAATACTCCAAGTTCTTGTGGTCTGTGAAAACCATGATCTCCTGCTCACAGGATTTGAGCATGTGTTCCCATTCCCGGAAAGAGGCTACAATAGCTCCCATTTCCTTATCATGAATGTCATAGTTGATCTCAGCAGGGGAGAACTTCTTAGAATAGAATGCCACCGGATGTAGCTTCCCATCATCCCCATACTGAGAGAGCACCGCTCCCTTGGCAAAATCACTGGCATCTGTCTCGACCACCGTTCTCCTACTAGGGTCAAAATGAAGGAGGATTGGAGCACTTGTGAACAGCCTCTTGAGTTCTTCAAAGGCCTGCTCATGTGCTGCCGTCCAATACCATTTCTTGTCTTTTTGCAGGAGGTCAGTTAATGGTTTGCAAACTTTACTGAAGCCTTCAATAAAGCGGCGATAGAAGTTTGCGAATCCGAGGAATGCCTGTACTGCCTTGATATTCTCAGGGACCGGCCATTCCTTAACTGCCTCCACCTTATCTTCTGACATAGATACTCCTTCTTCCGAGATGTGATAGCCTAGATACTCTACTTCTCGGACATGGAAGGATGTCTTACTGATCGAGGCACAGAGCTTAGCTTCCCTAAGCTTCTGTAGTACCTTCTTGACCAATAGCTCATGCTCTTTCTCAGTCTCCGAGTAGATGAGGATGTCATCAATATAGACAACTACTCCTTCATCCAGTAGTTCCTTTAGCACATCATTGATCATTGCCTGGAAAGCGGAGGGAGCATTGCATAGACCAAATGGCATCACATTATACTGATACAGTCCATAGCGGGTTCTGAAGGCGGTTTTCCACTCATCACCTTCGGCTATCCTGATCAAATTGAAGCCGTTCTTTAGATCTATCTTTGTGAAGATCTTGGCCTTGAACAACCTATCTCTGAGCTCACTCATGATAGGCAGCGGGTACTTGTCCTTAACAGTTACCTTGTTCAATCCTCTGTAGTCCACACAAATCCGCAATGTCCCATCCTTCTTAGGAATGAACAGTATGGGTGCCGCAGCTGGACTGTTAGATCTAGAGATCTTTCCTGAAGATAATTCTTTATCCAGGTACTCTCGGAGGGCCTTCAATTCTGGAGCGGAACATGGGTATAGCGGGCCAAATGGCGGAGCGGTGCCAGGCAAGAGTTTGATCTTCAGATCATTATGGGAATGCGAAGGCATTTCCTCAATCTTCTCTTGACTGAACACATCAGCCCAATCCCGGTATAGGTGGTGTATTTTCTCAGCAATATCACCTCCGTCCTCATCATGCCATACTGAACCAACCAATTGATAGACTGTTTCTTCTTCCTCCAACATCTGGTATGGAGAGATCAGTTCAATCTTGGTGGCCGCTGGGAGACAATTCTGCTTGCAGTAGTCACTCCTCCAGCTCATGGTGTTGAGTTCGAAATTGATGTTCGGGTTATGCTTCCTGGCCCAACTAATTGGCAGGTAACCGGCCATTCCTTCTTCCAAAGTAGCCACTTCCCATCGGAGTGTCTCTTTATGATCTCCCATAATCATGCGGACTGGGTGAGTGTAATACTCGCCTCCTCCCATCATGACATCTCCTTGAGCATCAAACATTGTCAGAGGTTGATCCCGCCGCACTAAGGGAATTCCATGCTTCCTGACAAAACTCTGGTTGAGGATTGCTCCTGTACAACCGGTGTCAAACAGGAAAGAACCTTGGGCGCCTTCATCCTTTCCTTTGACTGTCCATGACAGTCCTGCCTTCAGTATAGGTCTTTTTCCATGTACTGGTAGGGAGGGAAGCCTCTGTTCCAACCTTCTTTGCTTAACAGCGGGTTCTGAACTTGTTTCTCTTTGTCTTTTCAACATAGCTAATAGCTTCGGGCACTACTAAGATCAGAGATCCTTCGGTTCTATTCCCAAGCGGTAATATAGCAGATGTATTGTGTAGTAGTCTTTTTAGCAGCGGGTTGGAAGTGTCTTGTAGCAAATGTAACTTTGGTAGAGCACTGACAGACCAGCTGTTTCGGGTCTTAAACCCATCCTCAGAGTGCTTGGAGCAATCAAATAGGCAGAAACACAATCATAATTTATTCAAGAGAAACATAGAAACCAAAAAAAAAAAACCCATATGAAAGAAAACTAGTAAACATAGACCCAAACAGACACTTTTTCTACCAGAGGATTTCATTGTCCGAGTCTGGCTCAGGCTGCAAAACAAAATCTTCTGTAACCTCCGGGAGTACAACAAGTGGATCCTCTGCTACTACAGCAGCCACTTTAGCCTTCTTCTGAGAGTTGGACTTGCCATTCCCTCTTTTCCGCTTTTGTACTCTCACTGCTGCCACTCGGACAACAGTAGGTTCCTTGGACCAACAATCGGTCCATTTGTGTCTGGACTTGCCGCACTATTGCACAAGTCAGTCTATGCACTCTACCAATAGGGAGTACCGGAAGGTCATACCTTCAAGCATACTTCTGCTTTCCTTCTTTCTTCTAGAATATGCCCCGGGATACCCTTCAGTTCCACCGCTTTGTCTTTAGGTCCAGGGACCTTCTGAGGTCCGGAGGAGCTTGCAGCTTCTCTCTTCCTCTTGGGCTGCTGGTCCTTCTGAGCGGAAGGATCCTTCTGGGTCCGAGGGGGCGCTTTCTCAGCTGCCAATCCTTGATACCTCTCATGGGTGTGCCCCAACTCTCTTAGAGCAGCTATCCGCTCCATCAAAGCCTTTGGTTTGGGATTGAAAAGAGCCCAACTCATACCTAGGTCTGCAAGGAGGGAATTGTTGATCTTATCATCCACCAACTGACCCTCATAGCCAGTCTTCCACATCAGCTGAATGATAGTATTCAGGAAGAGATCTATTCCTCCTCGAGCTGTGTGGGTGAGGGTATTCCATTGGGCTACAGCATCATCTCTAGAGATGGCTTCACCGAAGGCTGCTCTAAAAGCATCCACAAAGGAATCCCAGCGCTTCCATCTCAGATCCAAAGTCACCGGCATTCCAGCAAGGCGGTTGACGGAGGCTTGATCAATTCAGTTGTGGTATGCCTCATACCATCTGATCGCTGCCTCTCCTTCCATCAAATTGCCTGCATATCGGATCTTAACCTCCTCAGAGGTGAAGGACAGACTCTCAATGGAGAATACATTCTCACATTGCCGGATGAAGGTCTCCACTTGCTCTGCCTTGCCCTGGAACTTGGAGGGTGGTGGTGCCTTTGGCTCTCGGGCCCTGGTAGTAGCTGAAGGTGGAGAGGTGGCTGAAGGTCGGTACTGCTGGGACATCATAGCAAACAAATCCTTTTGTTGCTTCTCCAACTTCTTCTTCAGGTATCTCCGCCAACCTCTTCTATTACCACCTTCTGGTTCCGAGTCTGAACTGTCAGAACTGTCTGAATCTCCAGGAGCAGGAGCGCGGGCCACAGGAGGTGGAGGGTTCTGGTTCCCACCGCTTCCACCCTGCGCATTGGCTGAAGGGGGAGCAGCGGCCGCAGCAGAAGGGGCCACAGGTGCTACTGGTGCCGGGTTGCTGGCCAGTGGAGAGGTTGCTGCTGGTTGAGCGGCCCCAGACATGGTGAACCTTCCTGGGTTCCTGGCTAGCGGGCTGGGAGGTCCTCGGCCTGCACCTGGATAGAGTTCTCCCTCATAGTCAAAGGATCGGTCGGCTAATCCAAGGAATGGGTTTATTCCTGCAAAGCGGCTAGGAGGTAAGGGAGATGCTCCCACCGCTGGCTGGACAATAGGAACAACTCTCCTAGTGGATCTGACCGGAAATGCTGCGAAGGGACTGGTTTTCCGCTGCATTGTCCTGGTGGCTGCCCTGGACGAGGACCTGGAGCCTGGATTTAGTGCCGGAGTAGCTGGTCTCGCTACCACTAGCCTTCCTTCATCAAGGGCTTTCTGTATCTCGGCCACAAAGTCTGGTGGAGTTGCCGGGTTTGTCCACTCAATCTCCATGGCATCGGCTTCCAGTTCATCTCTCTCCGCATACTTTCGGAGTTCTTCCTGGACAGAGTTGACTTCATGCCTCATGTATTCAAGAGCTTCTGCCATCAGAGCATTCTGTACTGCCTGGCGCTCTTGTACAAGGAGTAGTGCCTGACTGCCCCGGGTCAACTGATTCTGCAGGCTATGCTGGAGGTAGGTCTGAAGCTCTGTGAAGAACTGTTGGATGGAAATCTCGTCGGTATCCTGCCAGGCAGGCTCACAACCAGGAATGTAGGTCTGTAGAGCGGTCCTGGGTTTCTTGACAAGCTGTGTCTGCCCGGTGGCATCAAGCTGGAGGGGCACCGGCTGCCATTCAATCTGAAGGGGTGCATCGGGAGCTGAGAGGGCGGACATTTTGTATAGAGGAAGAATAATCTGAAGGTGACTTGAGCCTTAAAAATTATCTGTAACGGGGGTCCTTTCTAAGAGAAATAGAATCGGATAGAATAGAGACGGCCGTGCAAGATAGACAATCAGGTTGCAGATTATTCAAAGATACTATCGCTAGAACTCAATAATCTTTAAGGGCTCTGCTATCGATAAGAACTTGGTTTTCTTTCTGATGAAGACAGGGGAGAACAGGACTGAAGGGCGAGAATGAACCTGAGTACTTATACTCCGAAGGCCTCTATTCTCTGCTCCTAACTCCTTACTAAGTTCCGGTGGAGCCTTTCCTCGGTGCCGGAAACAATACCACCGCTACCCCGCTTTTCTCTAAGCGTCAGCAGGTGTTTCCGATACACAAGGCAACCACCCTTAGTCAAAGCCTTTGTAACACCTGCAGCCTTGGTTGCCACACAACCGAGGGCCTGCATGAATGAGCTGCCGCTCAGGTGTAAGCTTAATCATTGCTGTAGAGCTTTCACTTATTGTAGACTACCCTAGCATAGTCCCTGCCTCTTCGGCGGACCTACAATGCTTAGAGGATACAGAGGATCACCGGGCAATCAGAGCTTCACTCTGGCCGGTCTTCTATTCACTGGCGAGGCATAGACTCGTCAGTCATTGCTCCCATGAATAGATCCTCTTCCTATCGCCCGGAATGTAGTTACTCTAACAGCTGGTAGCTAACCACACTGCCGGTACTTGCATATCACCGTGCAACTGGCTTCTAACAATAACTCTCAGCATGTAATCGGGCTCTGTGTGTACTCATACACCAGACAGTTGAAATGGCTCCGTTACAGCCTAGGCTCGTCAGTCATTGCTCCCATGAATAGATCCCCTTCTTATCGCTCAGAGTGTAGTTACTCCAACAGTTCATAGCTAACCACACTGCTGGTACTTGCATATCACCGTGCAACTGGCTTCTAACAATAACTCTCAGCATGTAACTGGGCTCTGTGTGTACTCCTACACCAGACAGTTGAAATGGCTCCGTTCTAACGGGGACTGTGGACGTAGGAACTATGAAGCCAAGGAATACAACCGAGGCGAAGACGTGGACGTAGGGTGTTCGTGGACTATGGACTATGGGGCCGAAGGGTACACCTAAGGCAAGAACGGGGACTGTGGACTATGGACTATGGATGGTTGTACCTGGTCTAGTATACCGGGTAAACCCTATGACGTAGCGTGAACCAAATAGTATTCGTGACTGTAAAACACAGAGGTTGCATAAAGAGGAAAAGAAGAGAAAGAGAAACATAAAATCACAAGACAACGCCCCCCTTATATATCCATACCCAATCCCAATGCTGACTCATACCCTCACATAACAAAAACAAAAAGAACATAATAGAAACCCGCTATACAAATCCCAACCACACTATATAACCCTTCCTCTTCATACCGCAACACCTCGCATAACCAAACCACATGGCTGCCGTTACATCCGTACACTAAATACACTTTCTTTATACCATCATAATTTCATATTTCTTTTGGTTGATTTCAATTATGTCTATGGCCATGGACTTTAGGTTTCTTTCTTTGTATTCCATACCGAATTCAGGTGGAAGCAGCATGAATTATAAATAAAATAATAAAATAATAATATTTCTCATACCTAGAACCTAAATATTGAGTAGCCTTATCCCATAGGCCAGCGAAGCCCCCCCCCCCCCCCCCCAATAATATAGGAATTAAATTTGCATGGGAGATCTCTTATTTTACTAGAGACATAATAGGATCTGTTAGTAAAGGCATACACAACTTGCTCTTTTTGTGGGTGAGCAACAATCATGCGCATTATCATTTCTTCCCTCGCCCGAACGGAGCCTATATATTACCTGTTGCTTTGAATCTCAACATTAATAACATAACATTACGGGTGTGCCACAGTACTCACTAACATTAAAACTAAAGACGAACACTTTTGCTAAGTGGCTGTCTACTTGGTCGAATCGAATGGTAAACCCGGGTGAATCATGGAGTATCACTCACGCTCTACCCCTGTTTTTTCCTCTTGGCACTAACAAATATTTAACAATTTCGTTACTGGATTGGACCAGCTAGAAGCAATCCCGGACCTTGCCTGCTTCTATTGTTTCACTGCAATCTTTTTAAATATTAAGATGTTGATAAATGATCACAAGCTTTTAGGCTTGTTGATCGACCCAAGTCGGAAAACAGCTCTCCCAAAAGAGATGATAGCAGTGACCTAGATACCTGTAGCTTACCTACCTCCTTGCCGACAAGATATTTCAAATAGTAGAATTTGCCCCTCAGGTGGACTTAGGGGCGGGAACGGATCTTGTATCACGTGACTCTAATCAATCCCACTTTTGCTGTAGTTTGCTTTCGCTACTGTATTCTTTGTAGTAAGGCAAGAATTGTAATTCATTCAAGAAACCTCAAGCTCCTAATATGAGCTGACACTATATAGGTAAGTTTATAAGTGCATATATAGTTGTTTCCTGTGTTTGAATACAGTACCGGA